AATGTACTATTATAAGCAAAATTTATAAAAAATTTTTTACTATTTATTTTGAAAATTTTGCCAACTTACCCCAAAAGCCTTTTTTTTAATAAACAGTCTATTGATCCTTGAAAACGGCAACTATTGAAATAAAAGTCTGACTGGAAATTGTAAAACAATTGTGAATAAAATTTATATAATAATTTTTTTTCATACTAATAACTATTTTCTTTGTAAATTAAAAAGTTACGTTTTAGTCCAAAAAACACATAAATCCTAATATCTCCCATGCGCACGAGCAAATCCTAACAATACTAAAGTGAAAGATGAAGTGATCAATTAGGAAGGTTCAAAGTATTTTTCTACAATTTAATTCTATATATTAATATATATATATATATATATATATATATATATATATATATATATATATATATATATATATATATATATATATATATATATATATATATATATATATATATATATATATATATAATTAGACTTGAGTGTTTACACGTCGACTGATAGCTTAAGATGTTGGCAGTTAGCAGAAGTGTCAGAAAAGTCTAGAGTGCCACTGAGTCGTTAAAAGGATGAGATTTGTCTACGAGCCACCGTAGACGAACTCGTGTCGCGACGTCATTGAGATATAGTGATGATCTACTTTCTTTTTCAATATCTGTTATATGTTTTGTCATAATACAATTATTAAATTCTTTTATATAAATAATACACTTTGATATGGTTTCAATAGTTTAAATTTAATCTGATTTTTTTTAGTTTTAACGCATGCGCGATGATTAAACAAATACTTACAAATATATAACCATTACAATAATCCTTTTGCTGATGACAAATTGTTTAGTTTTATGGAGTTTTTGATTCACACAATGTTAAGTTTTGATCAATGATGCAATAAATATTTTCTACTAGTTTATTCTGTTAAAATAAAATTATCGAATTAACTTTATAGTACAATGTTCAATGAATTAAACGCATCTGACAATTATTCAACCACTTATATTTAACGACTTATGTTTTTACTTAACTACGTGCAGTTTGAAAATATAATCACATTTAATTATACCATTATATTAATAAACAACATTAAAATTATTATTTGCAAACTTTTGTACTCAAGCACATGTCAGCCAAAAATTAAAAAAAAAATTAAATTAATTATTGTAAAAGTACATTACAAAAATAAATTTCAAGTGTTCTTGACATTATATTATTCCGGATTTCCGAAGCTAACCTTTTTTTAAAAAAAAAATAACAAATAAATATAAAATATAACCGAAAGTAATTTTAAGGGCACTAAAAAAATGAACCGTAAAAACAAACAACTTTTTTTTAATCTTAATTTCCGCATTTTTATTAAATTGAACCTGTCATTTCGAAAAGGGCACAAGTCCATTTATTAAAATTTTTCAAAATCAACAAAAATATGATTTTAAATAAAATAATGTCTTCGCGGCTAAAGAAGTTAAATATAGAAGTGGATAAATAAAGAAAGTATGTAACTTATGCAACTTTTATTTAAAAAAAAACAACATAAACCATACATAAATTTTTAAATTTAAATTTATACACTAACTGTTAAACGTTTTGGACTTGTGTTCTTTTCGAAATGACAGGTTCAATTGGTTATTATTGTAAATCAAACGTTATTTAGTTATACATTGCAATGAGAGCATAAACCTTATAGAAAAGGTAAAATAAAATAGAAAAAATTAAGAAAAAAGTAAATACTATTTTTTCTTTAATTCACAGTTGTACTATTTTTTATTATTAGTATTAATAACTTAAAATATATCCGCTGTCATAACCATATGCACTTTTTTTGAAACTCAGAAAATTAACACTTTTAAGTAAATATTATTGTTAAATGTTATTGTTAAGCATTATTGTTAAAACAACTTTTTAAGAATTGGTTCCAATTTTTCATGAAATAAAATTAAGTATATCAAAACCATTTTTTTTTAAATGGGATGACTTTACCCAAGAAGCACACTATATTAAGCCAACGTCAGAACAACCTTGTTGCCCCAACGTTGTTCATATCTTGGCCCGACGTCTTGCACTACTTAGGTAGGCATAGGAAAACTACCCTAGTAGCAAACAATATTGGGGCAATATTGGGGCGATATTGTTTACAATATTGGCGCAATATTGTAAACTATATCGGGCCAATGTTGCAATGTGAACATTTTACCAATATTGGCCAATATTGTAAAGTCAATATTGGCGATACAATATTGCACCAATGCTGTAAAGTCAATATTGGCCAATATTGGCAAAATGTTCACACTGTAACATTGGCCCGATATTGTTAATAATATTGCACCAATATTGTAAATAGTATCGCGCCAATAATAGGGATATTACCCTAGTAGCAAACAATATTGGCGCAATATTGGGGCGATATTGTTTACAATATTGGCGCAATATTGTAAACTATATCGGACCAATGTTGAAATGTGAACATTTTGCCAATATTGGCGCTACAATATTGCACCAATATTGTAAAGTCAATATTGGCCAATAATGGCGATAACGAGTGATGCATAATTAGTGACACAAAAATCAAAGCCTTATATTTTTAAAGAAATAAAAGAAAATTTTTTTTTCATTTTTAAAAAATAATAACACAATATTTATTTTTTAAAAATTATTTTTTGTAAATCGATTGAACGCCTTGATCGGCTATTAATCTCAATTTAGTTTTGATAGCCTTCATAAGGAATTGTAAAAATGTCAAATCAATTTTTTTCACACAGGCTTCGCTACGCCGAATCAGTTGTTGTTTACTTTTGGCCTCCCATCCACACTCATAGACATTCTGAGCCAATACTCCTTAAAAGTGTTCGATTGGCCTGGCTTTGGGGACATTAGGAGGGTTCATATCGACCGGCACGAAGTTAATCATTTCATTCATCCACGATATTGCCTCTTTAGCTCTATGGGCACTAGCTAAATCCGGCCAAAATATGTAATTTAAATCATCGTGATACTTATCTATGAATGGCAACAATCGTTCCTCTAAGCATTCTTTGATATAAATTTCGAGCTTTCTTTGACTTACACCTTTTCGATTGTTGGTCAACCTTTTAAGTTTCGCTTTTTTTTCTTGAGTCCACGATGACGGGCGACCAGAATTTTTTTTTATTTTTAAACATTGTCCATCAAGCTGTCGATTGATGTATCTATATGCTGTTTTGCGAGCGATTCCTTCTTTAATAAAATGGTTAGCGGCTTCCCTTTGGTCGCTTTTGGGTTTTTTACAAAAAAATTTTTGACGCTTTTTTGAAGAGCTGCTCTTTCTTGGCCGTTTAACATTTTTTTTGGATAACTTTTTTTTTCAATAAAACTAGAATATTCAATTTATCAAAATAAATTTATATGGTTTAATGAAAAAGATTATATTACGAGCAAAACTAAGTTAACTTTTGTGTCACTAATTACGCATCACCAGTTACAATATTGCACTAATACTGTAAAGTCAATATTGGCAAAATGTTCACACTGCAACATTGGTCCGATATAGTTTATAATATTGCGCCAACATTGTAAATAATATCGCACCAATAATGGGGATATTATACTGGCCAATATCGGCTTATTATAGTTTACAATATTATCCTGATATATATAATATATATAACTAAAATAAGGCAATATATTGAGTTATTTCGATTAAATTTTTATTATTAAAAAATAATAAAAAATATTGCCTTCTACAAATTTGTGATAATTAAAATTACTAACAGTTTTCTTGTTTAAGTAATGCTATAGTACGGCTGCATTATTCTTTTGAGTCAAACAGGTTATAGTCTAGGAGATGACAATAATCATAGTACACGCTTTAAGAAAAAAAAAAAATCGAAATCATTAAATATATTTGAAGTTATATAAAACAGATACAAATGAAAAAAGAGGTATAGAGTTTTCTAAAACCAAAATACAACAAAATAAAATCAATGTTATTTAAATGTACAAAAAATGCTATTTACACGTACAAAAAATATGCATATATATATATATATATATATATATATATATATATATATATATATATATATATATATATATATATATATATATATACATATACATATATATATATATATATATATATATATATATATATATATATATATATATATATATATATATATATATATATACATATATATATATATATATATATATATATATATATATATATATGTATATATATATATACATATATATATATGTATATATATATATACATATATATATATATATATATATATCAGGCGCGGATCCAGCATTTTTTGATGTTTGAGATAACTAACTTCCAGACATGGTACAAACCCCAAAAATTTATATGTTTATACTTATGTCAAATAAAGATGATTTGCAAAAAATTGCGATGATTGGAGTCTGGGAACAAAAAAGCCCCAAAATTTTGGCCACACAAACCCCAAACAAGAGAGCAACAAGTTGATAAAATATTTTTTGTACAATTCTCAAGTAAATTTATATTCATCGATAAATTCTAAATTTCATGCAATAATCTCTTAGTGTTCAAAAATTATAATTGCACAAAGCTTTAACCCCCCTCAATTTGAGGGGGTTACAAATTTTGTAAGGTCATGTTTTTTGAACACTAAGAGATTATTGTATGAAATTTAGAATTTATCGATGAATATAAATTTACTTAAGAATTGTACAAAAAATATTTTATCAACTTGTTGCTCTCTTGTTTGGGGTTTGTGTGGCCAAAATTATGGGGCTTTTTTGTTCCCAGACTCCAATCATCGCAATTTTTTGCAAATCATCTTTATTTGACACAAGTATAAACATATAAATTTTTGGGGTTTGTACCATGTCTGGAAGTTAGTTATCTCAAACATCAAAAAATGCTGGATCCGCGCCTGTATATATATATATATATATATATATATATATATATATATATATATATATATATATATTATATATATATATATATATATATATATATTATATTTTATATATATATAAACTACTGTATTATACTCTCACTATAAGATAGTGGGCATCGACTTTAATTATATTGGCGATACTTATTTCATTGCTCAATATTGGGTGTTGCTCAGTTACGGTTCTATTTTCTTATATAATCTCTATTAATGGCCGTCGCCAGAAAGCTGCCAATTTTTTCTTTAATACTTTTGTCAGTAGCGATTTCGAAATGAACGAATACAACGATAAACGACTAAACGCAACTCTATAAAATGTTTTTTAAATATCATCACAATATAATTTGAAATATATAACTTTTCACGTATAAATATTGAAAAGTAATTAGCTTTTATTAAAATATTTATTTAATAAAAGGAAATGGGATGTAGAATACAAATATTGTGCTTCACCTATAACGACCTTGCAGGTCGTTTCTGTTTCATTCCATACACTGAGTATAAAAAACATACTTCTTTGGCCATTAGTAGTATTAAGATTGCCGCTGTAAGTTGTTTCTCATCTCCTCCAACCGAAGTAAGCAAGTTCATCTAAAATAAGAAAATAAATGTAATATAATTGGTTGTACTAAAAGTATAATGGTTCCTCATGTGTATGTATTAGACGGTTTTCCATAATGTGATTCTTATTAAAATATGACATTATGGAAGAGTAAAAGCAATTGGTTATAAATAGATTATGACATCTGTAGCGGTGGATACACCCTACAGATGTCATAGATATCTGAGATTAGTAGTCATTGCTACACAAAATACATTGCTAACTGGACATAAAAGATAATAATCATTATAAAATGTAATAAGCATTTATATAAAACATTCTGATATACAACATAATTATAGTCAATCACGTATCATATTGTATCATTTGTTTGTATGTTTTATATAAATGTATATATTTTAACAATTAGAAACTTTAATAGTATATGGTACTGTTTCCAAAAACTATTAACTAATATCAATTCACTGATATATACTATTGATTCATAAGGTGTCTTTGTTCCATAATTCTTCTTCTAGGTTTAAAAGATCTTTTTTCATCTATAACCGGCAAATAAACTCAATAAATCGAAAGAGATAGTCAAGCAAAGCTCAGTATGGCAGTTTAAGGGCAAGATGCTTACAAGTGATTTGGCCAATACACCAAACTTTCATTGATACGCCATGAAAAACAGATTACATTCATAGCACACATATTGTTTTTTCATTGAAAAATTCAGCCAGAGCAATTTTTGTAAACTTTATTACCACCTTCCGTTTAACGGTGCATCAGCTGAAAAATAATCACAAATAAATTTATGATAAAAAAAACTTCAGATTAACTTTCTTTTTTGAGACAATTTTTTTTTAACTGAAAATATTAGTCTAAAAATTATTGAGATTCATTTCTTAATGTTTAATGTAATCGCTTTTTATTGCAAGTAGAGTTTAATTATTGGTGAGTAAAAAAAAGTGAATTTTAAAGTTTGCACGATTTGGAAAGGTTTCTATGATAACATTTTCTTATTTAAATATGACATTAAGGAATATAAACAACTTGAGGCTCTAAGTAAATATTTACCCCAAGATTACGAGATTCAAATTAGCATGAGATTAAGATCTCATGCTAATTTGCTCAAATGAATGAGTTAGCCAGGCATAGAATATTTTTCTCAGTTATGGAACATTGAAGAAAAGTGTTTTTAATATACAACACTAAAAAAATAAACATAAAACTTATTCAGTGTTTAATTAATTTTAATTATTTGGTGTTTAATTATAAGAGTTTTGATATAACATATTGTCATTATTATTAATGTTGTTAATATTATTATTTTCTAAGGTTATAATTTTCTAAGGTTATAATGCTATATAAGAAAAAAGACATAAAAAAAATTTTTTTATTGCAAAATTATTATCTTGTAATAAATTTATATGCGAGTGTGTGTGTGTGTGTGTGCGCGTGCATATGTGTGTGTGAAGGTCAATAATATATAGATATATATATATATATATATATATATATATATATATATATATATATATATATATATATATATATATATATATATATATATATATATATATAATGTAATTGTATTTATTAGAACAGATAATATACATGTTCTAAAGGACACGCAGGTCCAATATTGATGGACACTAACAGCGTGCCCACCCAAAAAAATAAAAAATAAATAAATAATGTAACAGCATACAACATTGAATAAATAATTTATCAACGCCAACAAAACTTATCAAAATTGATTGAGTTAATTTTCCTCTTAAAGATGTTGATTTTATTGGCATTAACAACATCGAAAGGCAACTGATTCCAAATGTTGACAACTCGGTAAGAGAAACTAAATTTGCGAATATCTAGTAGACAATGTTGTTTGTGCAATTTATACTTATGCCCCCGAATGTTGTTTTTGTTGTCAAAAAGAAAGAACATAGATTTATCAATTAAGACCAAGTTATGCAGAATTTTGTAGCAAATTGATAAATCATGCTTTACTCGCCTTAACTCAAGCGACTCCAAATCAAGCAACTGAAGTCGGTTATCGTAGGTTAAATTGCCTAAGTGCAGGATTTTTTTTGTGAAACATTTTTGCACGTTCTCAACAACCTTTATTAGTTCAACATGATATGGTGACAAAACTGGGGAGCAATATTCTAGAATCGCGAGACTTGAAGCATTTTAAAATAAGATATGGTCTAGTATTAGCTGCATGTACAATGTTTGAGATATGCTTTTTATAGTTTAGTTGAGAGTCCAGAGTTACACCGAGATCTTTCGGAATAGAAGACCAAGCTAAAATATGATCTCCTAACTTATAGTTAAAGTTAACAAATTTTCTTGATGAAGCAGGTGCAATCCTATGAACAAAGCGCTTACTGGTAGAAATAGGTAGTTGCCATGTTTCTGACCAAAGTACTACGTTATTAAGAGCAATAGCTAAATAATGGCTATGGTCCATATTGCAAAATGAACTGTATAACTTGATGTCATTGTCATAAAGTTTTAAAGAGCAATCAAGATTGTTGACTATAGCGGTTATATCATTGATATATAGTAAAAATAATGTTGGGCCTAACACGCTGTCCTGAGGAACTCCACTAACGATGCAAGTTGGGTTTGATAATGAAGTTCCAAGCTTAACTTGTTGACTCCTATTGTTAAGAAATGCAGCAATACAATTTTTTAAATAACCTCTTATGTTGAATAAAGCTAGTTTGGCTAACAATTTAGCATGTGATACAGAATCGAATGCCTTTTGAAAGTCGATATATACAACATCTGTTGTTAGATTATTGTCTAGTACAGTACTCCAATCATTAACAGATTCTAAAAGATTAGTGCATGTAGAGCGTTTCTTGAGGAAACCATGTTGATTATTGGCTATTAAGTTATGGAGAGTTAAGTATTTAATAATATCCGAGTTAATAATTCTTTCCATTGCACGACAACAGGTGCATGTGAGTGAAATTGGTCTATAATTATTAGGGTCTTGTTGCTCCTTTTTTAAAAATTGGAGAAAAAAAAGCTTGAAGCCACTGTTGTGGTAGACTATTTGACTTAAAGCTGGCATCAAATATAAACGAAAGTGGGATACATAAAACAAGAGCTAGCTTTTTCAGAAGAATGTTCAGTATTCCGTCAGGACCATAAGATGTACTCGGTTTGAGATTGATTAAAGTTGCATAAACCGTCTTAACAGAAAAATTAATGTCTTCAATGTTTATCGAGTCGTTAACAAAACTAGTAATATTTGGTGAATAGTTGTTATCGTCCGTAAATACACTTCCAAAGTGTTTATTAAAAACTTCAGCAGTTTCTTTATTGCTAGAAGTTAACTTGAAAATATTGTCTTTGTTCTTTATATGGTAGTTCCCTTTATGATTATTTAATTTATTATTAACATAGTTAAAGAACTTACTGAGTTTATAGTCATCAACTAATTTGAATTCGATTCTTTTGAGATAAGCAACTTCTTTTTTCATAAATTAAAATTTTTGTTTTGAACTATTATTTGTTTTTGTAAAAAAATTAATAACATAAGGATACCTGTTTATGTAAAAAGATGCTATTGTTTACATTTAAACACATTCAACAAAACTAAAGGACATTATGAATATTCCTTAATGTTACGCATGCGTACCAATATGTAAAATTTAATATAAAGCCACAATATTTCGCCATGGATAATAGTGGCGCCAATATTGGTAAAACAATATTGGCGTAATATTGCTTGACAAAATTGGCGCAATATCAAGATTAGCTAAGATACCCAATATCGTGCCAATATTACGCCAATATTGTTTGCTAATTGGGTAGGCAATCATCCGATTGGTGGGGTCTCTCCACAATAGTTGCACAAGAGTTTTCGGAGGTTTTTAAGATTTTTTGACTACTAAAGAAAAAATCAGAAGGGGTAGATACCATTCGCACTATTACATCTTTTTATGCAAAAACTGTTGTCTTATTAACTTCATTTAGTTACCTCTACTGTTGACAATACATCTTTTGCTAGAGTTACAAGTACTGCTTCTAATGCACTTTTATTAGATACTACTTCAACTTCTAGTGGTTTGACTTTTATAACTTGTTTTTGATTTTGTAACTACTGCTTCTGATTCTTCTTCTGTTAGCTCTGCATCTACTGTAACTTCGGAAATCTTGAGTTTGCTATAATGTTTTATAAAGGTCTTATATAAAACTTGTTTTTCAGTTATATAAAACTTGTTTTTAAAAACCAAACTTTGTTTACCGTTTCTTATTTTATTTAACTTTTCCATCACGTACTGATTTGAAAATAATTTATTTAAAGGTAATATTTTACTTCATATCATAAAAACACCTCAGAAACTTTACGTGAGATTACAAAAAAGTAACTGAGAAAATAAAAACTACCAATCCATTGAGTAACTTCACTTAAATATAAAGATTTTGAAAACTATTTAATTTGTGTTATCGTATTTATAATATTTAAGTGATTTGCATCCTATGTCTAGCGTACCCATGCATATGGCTGTAGATACACAGATCCCACATATAATTGTTTGAATCTCCTGTTGTTTAAAGTTTATTTTATTTTTTACTTCAAATGATTTATGACAGCTACGAATACATAATTTTCACAATTAAAAGTAAATATTTTCTAATAAATATTAAAATAAAAAGTATAGTGTTCTATACATAAAATATAGGTATTACTAAAGAATCTGGAAAAGTTTTGTTGTTAAGAGACAGATTGATCGGCCCTTCCTCTTCATTGCCTAACCAATCTACGTCCATGATATTAATAGAAATGAGAAATTGAACTAATTTAAAATATTTAGAATTAAACCTTTTTTATTTTTTTTGGTGAAAACTTGAAAACGTTCTTTTGAGTCGGGGCACAGAAACGCAAAATAAAAGCGGAGAAGATGGCGTTTCTTGCAACAAAAAGAGGTGCTTTATTAAATTTTGTTACTCATGAGCCTCCACCGTATTCGGCAAAATCAACTTCGATGAGGTACAAATAAGATGTTGCACAAAAACCTATACTTGACCTCAATCCAAAATCATTTTTGTGACATGCGGATGTCACAGTTTCAATTTAATTCTTGGAGACATGATCGAGACATGATGAGAAATGAAAAATTAACCTTCGTTACAATGACACTTTTTGGAATTTTTCATCAAAATTTTCATTTGTTTAGCACTTTAGCACAGTAATGATAGCTCTTTAAAACTCATATACAAAATCTGACATTTAAGCCTATTTCTGATATGCTGGGAATTCAGAACCAATATAGTGAAAGCTTTTTGTTATTAAATAGCAACAATGTACGATGCATTGGTGGAAGTGGCTAAAAATGCTAAAAGCAAGGGTCAAAGTAACTGGATTGACAAAATAAATCAAAACTTTCCTTTTTTGGTTACTTTACCTATCTTACCTAATTTATAACTAAAAATCAATATCATCAACAAATAATTAAAAAAAAAAAAGGATTTGTATTTGTCAAATTTAAGTCAGAGATTTGATTTAAGAATTGAAAATAGAGCCAGATGAAATCAAATTTATAGCTACCATAAGCTTGAGAAGAAACAGAATGTGAAAACAGTTCGGTTATGAAAGCATTAATGGATCATTGTCAGATCCAAAAGAAAAAAATCTAGTAGAATTTTTTAATGTTTTATTAGGTCAAGCAGTTATGTTGTTAACTACACGTTTAAACCAAATAAAACCTCATTTTGGTTGGTTTGGATTTCTGTCCAATATCAAAAAAGATTTAGAGTTACACCAAAATAATTTGATGAAATGTTGCGAGGATTTAAATATTGCGCTCATACATCTTGTTTAGATATTGATCCGAAGAATTTAAGAAATGAATTGCAAATATTTTCAAACATAGTTTTAGTTTTTTGTCTTCTCTAAATGATTTACTTTTTGTTTATGATCATGGTTTGAATACTGCTATTTCAAATGTCGCTATATTCTTTTGTATAGCTTTGACTAATCACTGTTGCATTGGGTGAAAAAAGTTTTTCCAAGTTAAAATTAATCATAATCTATTTGAGAACGACTATGACGCAGGAACGCCTAGTTCTTGCGTCATACTTTGCCAACACTCTGGCAGTGATATCTTTTGAGCGAGATATCGTCCATTTTTTGCATAATTGAAGCTGTAAAAGTATTAAAAGTTGTTTTTTTATTGAGCGTTTATGAAATCTGCATGAATGTGAATTCTGCTAATGTGAATAACTAGATTTCTGCAAAATCTTGGACATACAATGTACATAAAATATATAATGAATCACAACTAAATAATTAACTTTCTGGTTTGATTTCTAGAATTTTTTGCCTCCGGCGTAGTGAGGGTTAAAGCTTTGCCCAAGAAACTTTATGGAAACTTTTTTTCTTTGATGCGCCATTTTTGCACATTAGGGTGTCGCAAAAAAACAACAACAACAACAAAAAAACAACTATAGACTCAGATGTGTGGGATTTGGTCCATGGAAAAAGAAAATTTTTTAGGGTTTATCTAGTCGACAATTGCAAGATGTATATTTGGATATAGCATTATTTTTCCGTATTTTTATTACTTTTGCATTTTTGTAATAATTGTTGTGAAAAATTGTTTTTAAAATCACACAGAAAGATTTATTAGATAATATTTTTTTATGAAAAATTATACTATATTATAAAAGTTGTTACATATATTACGTTAGAATAGTTATAATAAACATAAACAAAACGTCTTTTGATCTATTGATGCTCTGTCCACTCAAGCGCTAGTTCGTTTACGAAACTCGAAACTTTAAGGTGAGGTCCGACTGCTTTTTTACCAGATTTTCTTTTCAATTTAATTTCATTTTTCACGATTCATTTTCGCGATACATCTAAATAATAACAATTAGGTCAGAATAATAAATCATTATTTACAGTAAAAAAAAAAAGAAAAGAAAGTAATGTTAAAAAATTGTATGTAGAGTGAGCATGTAGAGAAGAAAGTATAGGTCAAAAGTAGATAAAGTTAAAGAATACATTGCAGGTAATATGAAAAAGCTATGGATTTTTATAGATTTTTTGTAAACAAGTATGAAAGTATATCATCACAAATGACCCTTATCATTGTACTTTCATGTTTTTCATGGCAAAAGAGGAGCATTCTTGCGAAGTAAATCGAAGCCGAAGTAAACCAAAGCCGGCAGCTTTTCCAGGGAACTTTGAAAATATCTATATAATCGTCTAGCATAGCAATGGAAGATTTAGATGCAGGTACATTTAAAATTCAAGGTTGGGTTGAAACTGAAACTAAGGCATGAACCTAAGAAAAATTTCAATATAGTATTTCAGTTTAAAAGTTACAATCAAAATTAATCAATGTATCTAAATTTAATAAGTAATTAAATAATAATTTAACAATTTTTAACATCAAAATTTCGATTCTATAGACAACTTTGTCAAAAACTACAATTTTAAATAATTTAAATATAGATTTTTTTTAGGCTGCACTACAAAAAAGTAAATATAAAAGTATATCTAACATACTTTTTTATTTATTATATACATTCTTTCCATGCGTTTATCCTCCATGTGGTTTATCCTCCTCCAAAAAACTACCTTATATAGAGGCTGCATACCTAGGCCCATAAAAACCAGTTCAGCTCATTAAATAGCATCATAAACCCTTTGCAGACCAACGGTAAGTGATTTTTAGAAGTATGAAGGATGTTAGAGAGAAAGTTAGAAGTCCAGTTAGAAGGTTGGTAAAGAGACAGAGGACAGTATTACACTAGGTGTTAGAATGTGCAATTTATGTTTAATATCAAGTTCACTTGATAGGAACCCATGTTATGGATAAAGTTTTATATAATTTACGTAAATTTGATTATATATATATATATATATATATATATATATATATATATATATATATATATATATATATGTATATATATTCATACATATATATATATATATATATATATATATATATATATATATATATATATATATATATATATATATATATATATATATATATATATATATTATCCTTTTTTTCAAAATGGAAGCCGTCGAAAATGAAAAACATTTTAACAAAAGTGCTATTTCATAATCATGCCATAGATGTGATTTACACAGACTTTGCTAGAGTTTTTGATAAAGTACCTCACCAACTTTTTGTTTTAAAACTTGATGCGTATGGCATACATGGAACACTACTGGAGTGGATAACTCACTGGTTAAAAAATCGCAAACAGAGAGTGGTCATCAGCAATAGCAAGTCTGAATGGGTAGATGTTGCTAGTGGTGTTCCACAAGGTTCAGTGTTAGGTCCACTTTTGTTTTTGATTTATATAAACGACCTTCCAGACAACATGGTGCATCATATAAAGATCTACGCAGATGATTGTAAGATTTTAGGGGTAATCAAAGCAGAATATGATGCAATAAAACTACAACAACACATAGATCATACAGTCAAATGGTCTAAAAAGTGGCTCATGTATTTCTAGACAAATCTAGACAAATGTAAAGTCATGTATGTTGGTCACTCAAATAGATCAGTACGTCTTTACTCAATGCTTGACATATATGGTAATCAAATAGAACTTGGAACAACAATTATTGAACATGATTTAGGTGTTTTAACATAAAACGACCTCAAAGTTAAGCATCAAGTAGAAGCTGCAGCAGCTAGAGCAAACCAAATACTTGGCAAACTAAAAAAATCTTTTCGCACAAGAGAGCTGATGTTATGGAGGGTACTCTACACAACATACATTAGACCTTATCTCGAGTATGCCATCCAAGCCTGGTCTCCTCACCTAAAAAGTGACAAAAAATCACTTGAATACAGCGAGTAACAAAGGTGATAACTGAGATTATCACCTTTGTTATTACTTTGCTTTTAGTTGTTCTGTTTATTTAATATTTTTCTTCAAATAATATTCTTTAAAAATTTTCATTGTTTTCATTTTATTAGTTTTTTGTAAATCTTCTATTCTAAAATCTAAACAATTTTTTTATTTTCTTTCTTTTTTTCTTTGTTCTAGTTATTAGATTTTCACCATTAAAAAAATATTTCCTTCATTTGGGATGTCTTTGCCATATATATATATATATATATATATATATATATATATATATATATATATATATATATATATATATATATATATATATATATATATATATATATATATATATATATATATATATATATATATATATATATATATATATATATATATATATATATATATATATATATATATATATATATATATATATAAATATATATATATATATATATATATATATGTATATATATATATATATATATATATATATATATATATATATATATATAGTATATATATATATATATATATATATATATATATATATATATATATATATATATATATATATATAAAACTGACAAGAGGAGACTCAGATTTCTAAATATAGAAAAACGAAAACAAAAAGAGATTGGGTTCAAGAAAGCACGGATTGCAGTTTATTATTAAGGTAAGTGTGAACTACTACGTTATTAAAAATGATTTTTATTTATAATCAAGTATTTATTTTATTTTTAGAACAAATTTAATATAAATAGGTGGCATATTAACTTAATAATAAATATAAATGAAATATATATTTATTAAACGCTTTGAGAATTAAGAAAATGGCTTAAAAATCTTAGAGTTTACTCCTGATGAGCTTATTGATTACTCCTGATCAAATATGGTAAGTTTTCCATAAAACAACAATGTATTTCTTAATGGAATCAGTGTATTCCTGCATTAATTAAAAAGTCTAAGAAAAAACATCCACTTGTTACGAATTTTTTACTGCTCAACAGAATTCAATTAAAAAATATATTGTTGGAGTGTATTTCTTTATAATTTCTCTCTGTACTGTAGTTGTCTTCAATATATAATCTCTTTAACGAACAAGTGGTTTGATTTTTACTTTATTTATTATTTACCTATCTTATATTTATTTATTATTGTGTTATTAATGTTACATTTTATGTTATTATTATATCTAATTATCATCTATGATTTGCACATACAATTTATATTGTATTATAATATTCTTAATATTATTGGTACTTTATTATTATTATTATTATTTTGTATTATTACTATTATTATTACATATATCATTATTATTTGCTTAACAATCTTTTCTTCTTTTCTCTCTTATTTATATATACAGATGTTGAGTTTTTCCTTTTGTTTTGTTTCTTTTTTTTTTTTTTTTTTTTTTTTCTATTTATCTATTTATTTTTTCGTGAAATTTTTATGTTTTTTAGGTTTATAAACTCTATTGACTAGTTTGTAACTATATGAGTGACACCAACCAATTTATATTAAATTACGATGAAATTTGTAAATTTTATTTTATTTAGGTGTCACACCATTGACTAGTTTGTATTCATAATAAGTCTCGCTTCATTTTTATATTATGGAAAAGAAAGTAACTATATGAGTGATATCTAACCAATTTATATTAAATTACGATGAAATTTGAAAACTTTATTGACATGGTTGAATAAAAAAAAAAAGAAAAAAAAGAAAAAAAAATAATTATTTGCCATCCATCAGCAAGTCAAGTAAGAATAATAATAACTAAAGAAGTTTAAGAATTTACGGTTATATTTGAAGTTGTATTAACTTTTTTTTTTTTTTCACTGTTTTTTCTTTTCTTTTTTTTAGCTTATTCACTTTATTTTCTTTTTTACATATCTATTTTATCATTTTATCATATCTATTATTAATTACATTATTATTAGCGATATAATTGTATATTTTATTATTAAGCGTTTGTCATATTTAAAGTATTTATATTTTTATTATACATTGCTACTACTACTTTTGTTATTACTGCCACTATTAATATTACTGTTGCTCTTTTGGTGATTATTATTATTGTTGTTGTTATTATTATCCGTTATTATTGTTATATTGTTAGTATTTTTATCATAGACTTCATCATTGTTATATTTATTGTATAGTTACTACTATTGTTAAATTGCTTCTGTTGTAATAATCTTATTAATATAAATATCTTTATTTCTAAAAAAATTTCTACTTATTTACTTATTATGTCTAATCTCTGCAAAGTTTGTGATAAAAGTAATCGTGCTAATCATCATTCACTTCAATGCAACCACTGTCTAAGGTCAATTCACAAGAAATGTAGTTCTTTAAAAAATAATGATTTTAGTTTATTAAAAAACTCTTCTATGAATTATTGGCTCTGTATTACATGCCTCAACAGTATTTTTCCTTTTAGTTCTATATCGGATAATGAGCTACTTCTTCAAACTTCAATTGAAAATATATTAAATCTCAATGATCTGCCAAATAAATAATTTTCTACTTCATTGCTCCCAAGAATCTGATAATTTTAATCAACTTAATAGTTACTTTACTTATCAGCTAAGTAACAACGACGATGATGATACGAACATAGTTGTAGAACATAGTTTACAGTCATCAACATTAATTGTTTTTTCTTTATTTCAATTAAATCTCACTTCGTTAGTTAAACATTTTGACGAATTAACCTCGTTTTTATCTCTAATAAATCATGAATTTAGTATAATTGTAATTACAGAAACTAACCCGAAATCTGGTTTACTCTCAACAAATCTAATAAATCTTAGTGGATATGTTTATGAACATACTCCAACAAAAACTTCATTTGCAAGTGCTCTGCTTTATATTTTCCATAAACTAGTTTAAAAATATAGAAATAATTTACTTATGCATAAACCCCAATTTTCAGAGACTCAGATAATTCAATTTTGGAATATTTGTAGACCATTGCCTCAAACAACTTTCTTCCATTTATATCTTTACCGGAAAGAATTACCAATCACTCAAGTATTTTAATTGATATTATATTTTCTAATTCAAATTCAAAAAAAATATATGATTAAAAATTGATATTTTTAATGATATTTTTTTCGGCAATCTAACTATTTGAATATCGGATCATTTGCCACAGTTTCTAATTTGTTCATCTTTTAAAAAAAAATAATATTAATTCTCGTAAAAGCAATATTCTTCTTCGAAACTTCAAAAAATTAAATAGTGAAGAATTCAGGAATGATTACTTGAAAATCGACTCGAATAAAGTAATCAATGTTTCCAATAGTAATACAAACAAATCATATGAAGATTTCTTCACTAGCTTTAACTCTATTCTGGACAAACACGCACCGTTGAGAAAACTAAGTAATCGTGGCTTAACTCGGAGCATTAAACCATGGATTACTTCAGTAATTTTGACCTTGATAAAAAAACGAAACAATATATTTAAGTAGTTCCTTAAAACAAAAAAATCTTCATGACAAACCAATTCTTGAAAAAAACTTACAAAACCTATTTACTTGTAACACTTATTTGAAGAAGCAAAAAGAACCACTTTTCTAACTGCTTTACTATCGATAGCAATAGTTTCAATAGTTTTTCCACCTACGTGGAAGCGTATTAGAATTTTTTTGAATATACGTTCAAATCAGTGGTGTAGGAAGGTTTTCAAATGTTTGAAATAACCAACTTATAAACAACAAGAATATTCCATATTTTTTTAAGGTTATATGAATGACGAAAAGATTCTTAAAAAAAAAAGTTACTGTGATAATGGGAACAAGAGACCCCCTGCCCCAAACGTGAGAGCAACAAGTCGATAAAATATTTTTTGTAATATTTTCAACTAGACTTATATTCATCCAGAAAATTTAAATTTCATAGTAAAATATTTTGGTGTTCAAAATTATGACCATATAAAGTTTCCACCCCGTCAATTTAAGGGGGTAGCAGAATTTAAATAAGTTTCTGTCAAATTTTTATTCACGTCAAGTTGAGCAATATACTCAGTAAGTGCTCAGCTTTACATCAGTAGAAACTTAAGCAAAATTGCTAAAGTTTTTATTCACGTAAATCTGACCAATTACTGAGTAAAAGTAATTGCTCATTTTTATTCACATGGCCTTATAACTAAATAAATTCGCATGTGAAAAACGTAGAAATAAGTGGAATGTTAAAATTGAGTGAAGTTTTAACCTCATAACGTATCAATAAAAAAAAGTTGAATAAGAACCATTATTTAAACTTTAATTAAATTTGGTGAAAAGTAGTCTATTGCCACTGAAATATTAGATATCATTGAACTACTATTTATCACGATTTTGTATAAAGACCATAAAACCGTGGGGTTTTTTGAGCAAATAAATTTGCAATGAATTTCACAATTATCCCTTAAATCGTATAAAAATTAAAACAATATTTTTGCACCCAGTTCAGAATTATTTTTCTAAAAAACAAACTACCATCTTTTAATTTATTGCTATAAAAAATAACATAATAAAATAATATATGCGTATATAAATACATAAATATATAAAGTATATGTAAATGTAATATATTTAATAATAATTTATGTGGTTTATAATTTTAATAGGAGGAAGTTCCCAGCAAACAAAAAGATATCTAAAATGCATCTAATATGCATCTAAAAACTGATCTAAAAGATGTCGAAATTCAGGTCTAGAACGGGACATAAATAGACGTCTATCTTATAGACGTCTTTTAGATGCATTTTATTCGACACAAATAATTGCCTTAGATGCATAAAAGATGTGAAATATACATCTTACAGATGCATATTAGATGTGTAAAATACGTCTCTTAAATAGATGTCTAAGGCGCGTTTAAAAAAGATAGATAATAGATAATTTTTTAGTTAATAATAGCTCTTTTATGCATCTAATATACATCTAATATACATCTTTAAATGTATATTTTACATCTTTTATGCATCTAAGGCATTTATTTGTGTCGAATAAAATGCATCTAAAAGACATCTATAAGATAGACATCTATTTATGTCCCATTCACGACGTGAATTTAGACGTCTTTTAGACCAGTTTTTAGATGCATATTAGATGCATTTTAGATATCTCCTTCTTTGCTGGGACTTGTTTGATACAAAGGTGTTACAGCGGTTAAATTAGTCATAAAAAAGGATTAAATTAAATAAGTAAAGAAACATTTTAACTAACATTACTTAATTTTTATGTCACAAAAATATACATAAGAAACTATATTTCTGCATTGCCGTCAACATTTTCTTCCACGTCGCCGATATCTAAAATATATACATTAATGACATTTAAATGACTTTAAAAGACATGTAGAATTCTGAATCTATTTTTATGAAATATTATATATATATATATATATATATATATATATATATATATATATATATATATATATATATATATATATATATATATATATATATATATATATACACACACACACACACATACTGTATCGGACAAAACCAGTGCAACCAAATGATGCTAATTTAGTTTCTATGTATAAAAGTGCTGTATTTTTTCAATTTAGAGAAATAACTATGTAACTGTTAAGAGACAACGTTCTTCAAAATTTATTCATCACGAAGTTCATTATTTGTACACGAAAATTAATAAATTAATCAAAAGTATTAAAATGTCTACAAAACAAGTGCAACTCCACAAAATGTTGACCAAGCTGTATTCATATCAATATTTTGTGGTGAATCCTTTGTTGTCGATCATAGCCTTGCATCTTTAAGGCATAGATTCGATCAGGTGATCAATAAAACTTTGTGGAATCGTTGCCTAGGCCTTTTGGATTTGTTCAAACAGTTGATCCTTATTACGAACACATTCATGATTAACTCTGCGGTTGACAATCTCCCACAGGTTCTCGATAGGGTTGAGATCCGGAGATTGAGGCGGCCAATCCAACACCAATAGATGGTTGTCTTGAAACCACTGCTTGACTACTTTTACAGTGAGTTTGGGATCGTTGTCTTGCTGAAAAACCCATTTTATTGGTATATTCCATTCAGCATGAGGTAACATAACATCTTTCAGGATATTTTTATACATGAAACGGTCCATTATTCCATCGATTCGATGTATTGGACCTAGACCATTAGCAGAAAAACACCCCCAGACCATTACATTGCCTCCACCATGCTTCACAGTATATATATGTATGCTGCAAAATGGCACTTGTCAACGAAATTCTGCCTGTGTGCTGTCACCTGTCAGCTGATTGCACATATCATGGCATGCTATGACTCCAGACTCCTGAACTATTTGCTGTGGTAGTATAGTTCGTTTTATTTTTAAGACATATAAAATTAGGAACACTTTTTACCATTGATCGATGTTGGTTGCAAATGTTTTGTCCAATACTGTATATACACATATATACATGTATATATATATATATATATATATATATATATATATATATATATATATATACATATATATATATATATATATATATATATATATATATATATATATATATATATATATATATATATATATATATATATATATATAAACAAGAAGATTTGTATCTCAACCAGATACAATAAACAAAAATTTTTTTATAAAAAAACTAAAGGAACTTGTATTATGGACACAAAAATTCTAGCATGACACAAAAAAGTCGAAGAATATCTTTTTAATACAGATATCAGTTTTGTAAATACTATTAAAACTATACCTTGTATAACACTCCATATATTTACTAGATTTTCTATGCTTATCTTTTCCCCATTTCCTTTTCGATTAAATTTGGACTGTAACTGATTCGAAAATAACCTGATAAATATTTTAACAATAAACTGAAATATATTTATAAAGATTTTTACTTTAATATAGGTAATAAATTAAAATATATTTTAATATATGAATGCTTAAAATTATGAAAAGTAAAAGCATTAAATTTGAAAATAAAATGCTAAACAAGGTTTAGCATTACACTTACTTTAGCACACAAACAAACTTAAACACCTACAGTGAAGCTCCCGAGTTTATCAAATTGTCATGTTAAAAGTAAATCCATAACAAATAACGCTCAAAAAGAATATGATTAAAAGGGACCAAAAGCATTTGGTCCCTTTTAATCATATTTCTAATAATTAATAAAAACATAATCATTTACCTTTTCATGATCAAAAAAACATGTTCTCTTGGCTTTCCACCACCAATCTTTTTTAAACTATCAAGCTGAAATAAATGTAATAAAAACTAGTGTAACTTAAATTTCTTTACAACATATTGAGTCTAACACAAGCTAGTTATTTTAGTTCATTTACAAATACTTTTCATTTAGATTCTAAACTAGTAAACCAAAATTAAACAAACTTATTAAAAATTAAGATAACTAGGTATTACCAAATTAGTATACTCGGTTTTATCTTTTAGTTTATTATCCAGTGTAACCACTTCGTCCACTGATTCTAGCAACTTCACCCCAGTAGCCTGAAACTTAATTTCTATAACTTCTTTTAAAAGAACTTTTATTTCTGCAAGCTCGTTGAGAATAACATCTCTACAAACAAGAATAAAATTAATTGATTAACATATTTAGCTCATAAAACCAAATAGCAAAACAATGAAATAAGAACTTTACAATTCAAATTATGCTTGAGTAACTCAAACTAAAATTCCAAAAATACATGTAAGTTTTTTAATTACTTCATCGCAAAAGTTGCCATAATATTTTGGAAAACCTACTTTTTAAATTAGCTAAAACTTTATCCTGTAAAAAGTTACGATATTAAAGAATTTTGTTTAACTACTAAAGGTAAAATGCTACACACATGATTTATTGGATCACAATATTATAAATAATCCATTTCTATTCTTTTATACCTATCTTTTACAATTATTTTAATACAAAAACAAATTAATAAAAAAGACCTCCACATTAACATTCAGTGGTGTAAAAACCAAAAATACTCATATTAAAACTTGAAACTCATTGACAATGTGAACTTTGCTTAATTTTATTCTGCTCATCAATAAAATGTGAAGAAAAATTATCTTCTTCAATCTTTAAATCTGATAACAACTCTATTCAAAAGAAATAATTATAATTAGAACTATAAATAATCCCTCAACCATACCTGCTACTTAATTTAATTTTTCAACCAATTAAATTGGTTGAAAAATTAAATTAATGACAACATTCTATTGTATTAAATAATCCTTTAATCAACTTGATATGAAAATTGAAAATTGATTGAAAGCATGCTGAAATTGTTTAAATTCAGAAATTGAAAGTACAAAATTGGCAATTTTGTACTTTCAATTTCTGAATTTAAACAATTTCAGCATGCTTTCAATCAATTTTCAATTTTCATATCAAGTTGATTAAAGGATTATTTAATACAATAGAATGTTGTCAATCATATAAATATATGTAACCAATTTAACATTACATATAATAGGACACCCAAATAGTTAAAATAAAAGAAAAATCTTAGTAATACATAAAAAAGACTAATAGCTAGATAGATATTATTCAGATCAAATTAAACAAGAATCTATTTCAGTTTATAAACTATTAAGAAAAAAATATGATATTTGTGTTATACTTTTATCATTGGGCTTATTCATAATAGGTGGCGGAGGTTCTGGCAATGAAGAGCAGTATGATTTGCTATTCTTATTTTTAATGCTTTCTTTAACATATATCTCATCTGATGTAGAAAGTTGTATTCTTTACAACATGAAAATGAATACAATTATAAAATATTTTGCTACAAAAAAGTAATTAAGTTACCTTTAAAAAAAACACAAAATAAGTTAGATACTGACTATCTGTTATCTTATACTTTATCAATGGAAATTTGTGCCATTCTTTAGTTGACGAAAGGTTATTTTTCAGTGCATGATTATAGTTTTTTTTGGGACAATAAATTTGTTGCTATTCTGTTATTACAATAAACTTGTTGCTATTCTTATTTTTCAATCCACTTGTTTAGTGCATAAGAAAAACATACAGAAAAACTTTCCTTTAAAGTTGGGTTATGCTCATACTCATTAGGCTTTTGGTTATAAGAGTATTTATTTTACAAAATCAATGACTCATGATGGTCAAAATATTCTTTTAGATTTTCGCAAGATAAGAAATCATTTCTTTTAGAAGTTCCAACATTCGATTTTTTTTTCTATATGTACTGATGAAAATTCTAGTATTTTTTAATATTCTTTTTGGACACGTCTACTGCGTCTCTTTTCGTATGCCCTTTTTGTAAAAGACATAAATGAATCTTGGTTCATCGATAAAAACGATAAGTGCACAACCAATAAAACAATCTTTTGTGTTATTGAACAACACTTTTGTAATATTTCTGCAAAATAAATTTCAAATCACAAGGATTTTAGCAAACATTCTAAGCATCAAATCATCGAAATATTAGTGAACTATAATAGCATGTTATTTTATTATTTAAAATTTATCAAAAGAAATAATCATAAATGTCTTCCTTAGGTTAAAATCTTCATGCTTTTTTCGAAATAAGTTTTCGAAGGGTTTTTTAAATGGCGGTCATTTATAATTATCGCTCCGTAAAATTAGTTAAAATTTTTTTCTTGATGTAAAACAAATCTATAAAAGACATCTTATAGACATCTAAGTTTAGATGAAAAAAAAATTATCTATGCACGATCTATTTTATGCATCTAATATGCATCTAAAACAGAGCAAAAATAGTATCTCTAGAATCAGACGTCTTTTCGATCTCTAATATACGTCTAAAATATACGCATCGGCAATAGATACTAATTAGACCAATTTTAGACGGTCTAAAAGACGTCTATTGTTTGCTGGGTTATTACTACTTGTAAATATCTTAAGCCGCTTTTTTGAATAATTAATTGAGTTGTTTTTCAATATAATTTCAAGGTAAAATTTGTAAAAAGGGTTTGATTAGGCGGAGATCATCTTAATTCATTGTTTCTTTTACTGAGAGAAACAATAAAGCCTTTCATTCCAGTAATGAACTTTACTGAGAGAACAACAATAAAGCCTTTCATTCCAGTAAAAAACTTTACTGAGAGAACAACAATAAAGCCTTTCATTCCAGTAAAGAACTTTACTGATAGAACAACAACAAAGCCTTTCATTCCAGTAAAGAACTTTACTGAGAGAACTACAATAAAGCCTTTCATTCCAGTAAAGAACTTTACTGAGAGAATAACAATAAAGCCTTTCATTTCAGTAAAGAACTTTACTGAGAGAACAACAATAAAGCATTTCATTCCATAAAGAACTTTACTGGGAGAACAACAATAAAGTTTTCAAGTTAACTTTTTATAATAATACTGTCAGGTTTATGAAACCTTAAAAACAAATTTACTAAAAACTACAAATTTACTACTGTAAATTAGTGAAGCAATTATTTGAATTGCTAATACAATCGTCGGACCTTCACTTACAATTTTTAACTATTAATTAAAGAAATGTTTTGACTCTTAAGATATGGTCTAGATATATTTTAAGAAGTATATTGTTAAATAGTTTTTAACTTCTTAAAAATAAATACATTTAAGATCTAAGATTTACTCAAAATTTCTGACAAAAGTTAATTATAAATATGACATGAATTATGCATTGAATTCAGATCAAAGTAGTTCCGAGCCACCTTTAATCACTTCTAAAATAAACACTTAAACTCTTGTAAATATTAAAACCATTACTGGGCTGTCAAACAACGGGTTGAAAAAACTGGTCAAACACAGTTAAACAAGTATCAAGGTATTTATTCATGTTTTGATAGTCTTCCTTATTAATCAAATCATTCACTGAAATATGAAAGAAATTCAAATCCAAAGGCTGCAATTTTTTGTAAAGCACCCACATTTGACACCATATATATACACAAGTTTTCACTATGTCTGGTTGTAGTCTCAAATCCAAAAAATATTTAACTAGAAAAAAATTTAAAGAATATAAAAACACCAATAAGTGTATACAGGGCCAACGCAAGTAGGTGTCACGTAGTGAGAGGGGTGGGTGGTGGATGTGTGGGAATTGCCATTAAAATTGTTGCTGGTTAAAAAAAAAACAAAAGGTCCTCATTTTTTAAAGTTTGCTGACTGACTTGTATAAAATGTCTACATTTACCGACTGACTTGTTTAAAAGGGTCAAATTAAACAACCAAATGAATGAAAAACTCATTGAGAGTGGGGGTGGGTGGGTGGAGGTGTGGCGCTTTGCGCCGGCCTTGAATATATACACAAATCCTAAATGTGTTAATTGTTTCCAAAAAACAGAGTGATTGTAAATTTCACACAGTGTGAGCCACAAAATTGATTGACTTCCTGTTAAATGCTCAAACATTCTGTGTCAGGACTGTACCGACTTTATAGAACACCTTAAAACCACATTAAAAAAATAAGTTTGAGTATGAACTTCACATGGTGTGAGTCACAAAAAAATATGTTGAATTAAAATATACATTTTTTTTTAGTATAAAAAAAATTGCTTTTAAAATAATAACAGTAACTCAACAAAAATTATGATCGATATTATGTAGATTTTTACATTAAATTAAAGACTATATATTAATTATATGCAATATAAAACTTAATGACTTTGCAACAATCATAATTTTTTAATCTTTGTATTCTATTTGTTTATAAACATAACCACACAATCGTAGAGTTTCTATAATTGTTAAGCCTATACCGTGATCATTTTTTAATGTTTTGATATAATCATTTTTAATAAGATCTTCAAGCAAATCTCCGTCAACTTGATTTTTAACAGCAAAAGCTCCTAGGCGATCTAACTTTAATTTTTTCATAACTTTCTTTACGTCGTTCACTGACCAATTTGTAACTGACGCATCTTCTAGGTTTTCACAGCAATTTAATATGTTTACTCTCCACCCGTGTACGTATTTGTGTAATTTTCGTGCTTCAAAGTGCGAGAAACCGATTTCTATTAGTGCATTTTCAGGTAAATTAGCTAATATTCTACCAGTAATCATCTCCTTCTTAAATTTATTAACAAATTTACTGAGTTGCAAATCATGTAGTATTTTTGATAAATCTTCTTCAGAGCATGCGCTTATTTCCTCTAAACTTTCAATCTCTCTATTTTGAGTAACACTTGAGAGTCGTCTCCGTTGAACTTGTAAATCATTTATACTCATGTAGCCTGAATAAACTTCTTCAGGTAATCTTGAAGTGTTTACATTTTTGTCTAAATAATATATTTTTGTATCCCTTTTTGAATGCTTTATTTTCAAAGCTTTTTTTAATTTATCACCTTTCGGTTTCTTTAAAACGTTTTCATGGAAGTTTAAATTATGATGATCTCTTGCGTCGTTTGTGTCGTTGCAGTTGGAGCTAGCTGATTCTTGTTCAAAAACTTCATTACCATTAGGTGAATCAATGCCAGAATCGCCAATGGAATTTTTTCTTTCGATTGTTTGTTCCCTCATTCCATATTGATTTATTGTAACATTGTTGCATGGCAACGTTTCTTCAATTTCATTAGATAAACTGATTGACTGTTTGTTTAAATAATTGTTTGCTTCCGAAGACGAAAAAAGAGTCGTTGGTCGACTAATTTTTTTAAGTTTATTTTTTACTTTTTTTTTTAAATCATCAGGTATTTTTAAATTACTGTTATTCTCAGCCCTTCTCTCAGGATTTTCCTCCTCTTTTTTAACCTCATTTCTAAATGAAATGTCCACAATAAGTTGTCCGTAATATAAAGGGGAGTAAACATCAAAAAAAATGGAAAACATAATCTCCTTTATTCTGGAAATATATGTAGCTGAACCATAATTTCCAAACTCAACAACTTCCAATGGTAAAGGTTTCTCGGAAAAAAAAACTTTGATAACTGAATCAAGTAAGAAAATTTGATAAAGGAGTTTATTATGATTACCTAAAAGCTCGCTTACAATTAAGATAGAGTCGTGCGCGTAGACACCATTCATAACAACGGTCCCAGTAGGAACCTGACAATCAAAACCATTAATAAACCTTATTACTGTTCCATTTTCAATATTGTTTGATAAAAGCTCTATAAAACTCATGGTTTTTTTACAATGAACAAATACAAAGCGGTCTTTGTTCAATAATGAATCTAGAGATTGATGAATGGTGTGACCACTAGAAGTTATCAAAACTATTTTTTTGAGATCTGAAAATGTTTCATGTTCATCTAATCTAAAAAATTCTATGCTTTTGGTTGTTTTACACAGAATGTAACTTATGTTTGGAATGATTTCCTGGATTTCTTTTAAATTTGTTGGATAAAATTCATCTACAATATCAACGTAAAGATCGGTCAACATTGCTGTGTTTAATCGAAATCTTTTTCCGTGCCAGTCCGTTCCAAATAAGAGCCATACGTTTTTTCGTTGTAAAACTGTAAATTCAAATCCAGCTTCAAACACAATACTTTCACTTAGTAGACATGTTTGACTCGTTGTTAGCGATATTGGAAAAATATTTATATCCAGAGCGTCCGCAAGCGAAATTTCAACTCTTTTCATTTCTGCGTCTTTGTTTCAGTTTTTTTGTAATCATTTTTTACATATATATAAATAAAAAAGACATTTAATAATAAGCTGATATTCTGCATATCATCTCTGAATACATTTGTTGTTAAAACATGCGCCAAAACGCTTATTGAGTTTGGTTAAAGAAAAAAATGTTTTTAAATAAATGGTGAGATCTGACTAATCTTTTATTATATTGAATATTATTATATCCAATTATATTTCAGACAATAGTTCTAAAATGAATAAAATTTTATCTTGACGTAAAATAACAAAAGATATTTTAATTAGTAAACTAATGTATAAAATTTGACTAAAATACAATTTAAAAAAAAATTTGTTAATTTCCTTTTTTTTTAAGAATTTTTAAAGATTTTTGGTTACAAAATAGTATATAATATAATTATCAATTATATTATTTAACGGTATTTTAGACATTTTTATTATCACTTTGTACAATTTCTCTGATTTTCTTTGGATTACTTTTTTAAAAAAATTAAATAAACTTACAGGTTTCGATTGTTATAAAAAAAATTAAGTCATCAACGACAAAAAGTTAAATAAACCTTTTGGTTTCGATTGTTTTATATAAAAAAAAAGCCATCAATGAAAGGTTAGTGAAAAGAAATTTAGAAACATGTTATAAATAAAACCGAGGAAACCTTGGTATGAAGATCTATGACGCAATCTCTAGTATAATCAAAGAAGAAAAAAGTGTAAATATTAAGAAATGCATTTACTTTATTATAATTAAGTTAATCCATTTGAGAATTTATTTTTTCATTGAATTTCCGGTCTGCATTTTTAGTACAATGAAAATTATTGCTGAATTACTCATCAATTTTTTAATTTGATCAAAGTCCAAAATAAATTTCATAGATTAATTTTTGAAGGAGTTTAACAAAGTTAGGGGTTGTCTATATAGTACCTACTTTTTTTTCGATCACCTTCCTCCCCCGCATTTTTGCCATATACTTTTTTGAGTACCCTCTACTTCCCTAAAAGTACCTACACCTTTAACCTA